GCGCCGCGCCACCGCCACCGCCGCCTCTGGCTTCTCCACCGCCTCCGCCTCCTCCCGCGCCGCGCCCACTGCGCAAGCGTCGCCCGCCTAGGCCCCGCCCCTTCCTCTCCTGGAGGCCCGCCCCTCAGTGGCGTCACAACCCCGTGACGTCTCCCGCGTGACCTCACCGCGGCGGAGCGAAAGAGATGGAAGTGGGAAGGAGAAAAGGGATGGCCCCGCGGCGGGGCTGGCTTCTCGCCAGACCTTCACCACATCCCACCCCACCCTCAAAGGGAGGAGTAAAAGTCTAGAGTCGCGGGGTAAACTCGGGGATTTTCGTCTGTAACAACTCCACCATTTTGCTGGTGGGGAAACTGGAGTCCCGGTTGGGGCACAGACCATGGGAAGGTCAAATAGCAAAACGCACTCAGAACCCAGCGCTTCCAGCCAGCGTTTGCCCCTCGCGCTGGAAGGACTTATTTGGAGAGCCGCTTTCCCAGAGGGATACTGCCTTAAAAGCCTCGGTTCCCAGCCACTCTTCATGATGATTACTACAGTTTATTGGTGCTGTTTGTGTTATGCAACGTTAGCATCGCGTCTCCGGAAAATAAAAGAGGTCTTGAAATAAACATCGAACACAGGTTCAGATGAAAACCACACATAATCCTCCACCCACTCTGTCAGGGACAACCCTTTCCAACTAAAGGTGAAATCATGAAAATTTGGCATGCCTTGTTCTGTTTTTAAAATAGAAGGCCAAGTATTACTGTATATATGGTACACCTGCCTGGTCAAGGTCTCATTTCAAGATGAAAGAATGGAAAAGGAAGCCTAGAGACAAACTTGTGTACCCCCTTCTGTCAGCAAGTGTTTTTTAAACACTGCTAGGTCCAAGGTGGTGGCTGGGGAGATAAGTTAAGAAACGGTCTCTTCCCTTCAAGTAGCTCTCTATTTTACAATTATGATAAAGATCCAGAGAGCTAACGTGCCTTGCCTAAAAATAGAGAGCAGCAAAACTAGAACCCAGCTTTCTGATTCCTTATGAAGTATGTTTTCCACAATTTCAACAACAGACATGGCTGGAATAAGTCACTGGTAGTGTGGAGGATGCCAGGAGGTTTTGGAAAGGGAAAGCATTCAACCTCCTCTGTCTCACTGCCAAGTAAGACAGTGGCTTAAAAAGCCTAGCTTGTAGGGTTACACACACTTGGGACTCAAATTCTTATTCTGCCAATTATTGGTAATAACAGTGCCTGCCCAGAGAAGATTGTTGTGAGGATTAAATGAGGTAACAATACTTAAACTCAGTACAATGCTCACAAGAAACAATAATAGTAGTAACTAGTATTGTGGCCGTAAACATGAGGAGATGTCTATGGGATTACACAGTGATACAAACAGGCAGGGATTACTTCTTCACCTCCTCCTTCTTCTACTTCATTTCCTTTCCTCATTCTCTATTAAAATATGAAATATATGCCCTTTCTGTTTCCAGGGAATTTTTTCTCCAACGTGACTATCTTATGGGAAACAGACACCTTAAACAGCATACAATAATAAATAATACTTACTATGCATACTATATAGAAGTTATAAACATTTTATAAGAAATTGTTCTTGGGCCTTTAAGATCTATGTAGAAGTTTGGATACTTGCCACAACCTAATTTTTGGGTGGTCACAATGTTGGAATATTTCACTAATATTAAGGAAAACTCAGTCTCCCTCAAAGGGGAACACACATTGTCTCAATCTTCTAGATAATGGACTGAAGAAACAGAAAGATTATAAAAATGTCAATATTAGAACTGAAAGGAACTGAGACTGTTTAGCCCAACCTCCCCATTTTACAGATGATGAAATTGAAACCGAGAGCAGAGAATTGACTCAACCACGCACCCAAGATCACACAGCTTATAGGGGGTTTCCAAACTCCCAATCTAGCACTCCATTCACTATACCCTGCTGCATTCCCTTTATACCTTGAGCTCAATTTAGGCCTTACATACAAAATAATCAAAAATTGCCGAGCATGACCCTCAGGAAGGAAAGCTGACACAGTATTGCAAAAGGGCTTCTAGGTACCATCTCAGAACTACATCAGGGGATATGCTTGGAGCTGCCACTGCCTAGAATATGCCCAAGATCAGCCAGTTTCTCTCTGAATTTCTTGAGCTGGTGATCTGTGTAAGAAATTTAAAGGAATGCCAGATCCCAGTTCAAGTCAGTCTCAGGGTTTCTTAAAGGAGTTTGTCCATTCTCTCATTTAGAAGTTGAGAGTCTAAGAGAAAAATGATTCACCTCACCAGGACAGCCTAAATGGCCTCCAGATCTTCAAGTCCTTAAGACTTAGAATTGCCAAGGCCAGCTAGTAATATCTGTGATTATGCCACAGTATAACTGATTCAGAGAATAGACAGTCCAAATAGACTTTAGGGTATATTTTATAATAATAACTTGTAGTAGAAACCTTTTAATTATACATCCAACCATAACTGCCCTACATAACTCTGTCCATTAGCCTCTGATGATTGAACGAAAGGGAGATACCTGATCTAGGATCAGCCAATCAAATTCTCTCTATCGCTTTCTCTCTCTCTCTTCCTTGCTAGAATTTGGAATTGGAATTCAATGAGTTCCCGGAATAGGCCTGGGCTGTTTCCTGGAAAGTGAGTGATATGAATATAGAATAGGGACCACCTTTTTCTTCACCTATGAAAAGGAGATAATGTCCATCTACAGAAAGAGAACCATGAATCAAAGAGAAGCCAAGATGGGAAACCTGAAGGTATGGAAGAGAGAGGTTCTTGTCATCCTGAGGCTGGTGGTTCTACTTTCCTTGGATTCCCATGAGATTCTCAGGTTCCATTCAAAACACATCATCTCCTGGATTAAGTCAAAGAAAGAATCAAGTCATAAAAAAAGGACTTAAGAGGAAAATATAAGTGAATATTTGATTTCTGCACAAGGATGGACTTCCTATTCTTAAAAACACTGGAAACCCCTATAGAAAAATAACCACAACAACCAAAAATAAAAAAACAGAACACAACAGGCAATTCAGAAAAAAAAAGAAATGCAAATGGTCATAATCATATTGAGAGATGTATTAAGCCACTCATAGTTAAAGAAATGGATTAAGCCAGGTGTGCTGGCACACACCAGCACTTTGGGAGGCTGAGGTGGGAAGAACGCTTGAGTGCAAATGTTCAAGTGCAGCCTCTGCAACATAGAGAGACCACCGTCTCTACAAAAAATAGAAAAATTAGCCAAGCATCGTGGGGCACACCTGTAGTCCCAGCTATGTGGAAGGCTGAGGCAGGAGGATTGTTTGAGCCCAGGCGTTTGAGGTTGCAGTGAGCTATGACATCACTGCACTCTAGCCTGGGCAACGGAGCAAGACCCTGTCTCAAAAAAAAAAAAAAAAAAGTACAATGTCATTTTTACCTGTTAGTAAAAGGTAATTTCACACAATGTTGGTAGGATTGCAGCTTGGTAAAACCTTCTGGAGGGCAATTTAGCAGTGTCTATTGAAATTTTAAATGCATACGCTGTATCTTAGATACACAGACAAATTTTAAAAGATGTGTATGTAGAAGAATGATCAGGGCAGAATTATTTGAGATGCTGGAAAACTGGAAACAATCTAAATGATTTTGATTATATTATATTATACCATATTTAATCACTTCTCGGCCTTATGGCTAAGATCAAGTGTAGTATACTACATTTATGCCATAGAATACTACGCAGCCATGTTTTAAAAAATGAAATAGATCTATATGAACTAACATGAAAAAATGTAGACTACTGTTAAGAGAGAAAAAAACAAGCTGTTGAACAGTATGTGTACTATATGTGTTTGTTTAAAACGCATGTGTGAGTATATACATATGTGGAACATATGCATAGCAAAATATCTGGGGAACTATATATCAATGGTTAAGGAGGAGGGTTTATGGTAGGATTGCCAGATAGAGTATAGAATTTCTGATTAGATATGAATTTCAAGTAAATAACATTTTTTTGGTATAAATATATCCCAAACATTAACTGGTGTCCTGTATTTGTATTTGCTAAATCTGGCAACCCAAACTATGGGGAGTGTTTACTTCATTTTATTTTATATTAATATTTTTTGAGATCAGATCTTTCTCTGTCACCCAGACTGGAGTGCAGTGGCGGGATCACAGCTCTCTGCATCCTCAAACTCTCAGGCTCAAATGATCCTCTGGTTTCAGCCTCCCAGGTGGCTGGGACCACAGACATTCACCACCACCCCCCAGCTAATTTTTTAATTTTGTGTACAGATGGGGGTCTTGCTGTGTTGCCCGGGCTGGTCTCGAACTCCTGGCCTCAAGCAGTCTTCCCGCCTCAGCCTCCCAAAGTGTGTCAGCCTTACGGGCATGAGCTACAGCCCCCAGCCAAGAATATTTACTTTAATGTTAAGTTTCTATTTGCTTGAATTTTTACAGGGGGTATCTATTAACTTGGTAGTCATTTTATTAAAAGATAAGGTAAGGTAGAAGAATGTATAGCAATTTTTTTCTGCCCAATGTATAGCAATGTTTAAAACACATCTTTGAGGACTAGTTTAACGTTATAAAAAATTCTTAACATCAGTTTTTAAAAGCTGCATCAAGCCTAGGAATGGTGGCTCATGCCTGTAATCCCAGCACTTTGAGAAACTGAGGGAGGAGGATAGCTTGAGCCCAGGTGTTCAATGCTGCAGTGAGCTGTGATGGTGACACCACCGTACTCCAGCCTGGGTGATAGAGCGGGAGCTTGTCTCTAAAAAAAATAAATAAATAAAAGCTGCATCTAAACTATAAATACAACGTAATCCTATTTTAAAATATAGATATAATTCATTAAAATAAGCATAGAAAACAACTGGAAAAAAGTATATCAGACTGTTACAACCAATTATATTCCATGGAAAAATTAAATGGGATTTCTGTTTTTCTTTTTA